AGTCTCCAGCTTTCGAAGTGTAGATTCAGCTCACTCAAGAAGAATTATTGCAATACTTACCCTTTATATTGCACTGTATTGATTGCAGTGGGGCTTAAAAGTAGCTGTAGCTCTGCAGATCCACTACAGACCCAAGGAAGAAGCCAAGAGGCCTGACAACAGCAAAGTGGGGAAGGCAAATACCACGTGGGCTCTCTGGCTAGCCCAGGTTTTCTCCTACAACAAAATGCTTCTGGGATGATTTTCTTGCTTTCCAAGAATGTTGTTGCTGGGTATCATGCTGGAGAGTTTGATGAGTTACCCTGGAAACCTACATAATATTTCTCTTTAAACCAGACAGTCCATTTTTAAAATAAGGTAATATATTTTTAAAGTATTTTATTGTTTTTCTTCTTTATTTCTTCTGAAAGTAGTAATACATATTCTCTGTTTAAATGTTGTCCAACATTATAGAAATATGTTAGAATGTTGATTTGGTTAACATTTTATTTATTAATGACAAAAAGTAGAAGAAATACAAGAGAAAGTTCACCCTCCTCTTCCCTCAAGGTAACCTCTGTTAGTGATTCAGAGTGAAATCCTGAAGATTTTTTTTTCTGTGTATGTATTTAATCAGGCATTAACTTTCAATGACTTCTGCACTATGTTTTTGACAACCATCCTATAGCAAGGAGAAGTGAAAATGATTTGACCAACATACGACCTTCACCAGATTCTAAAAATAATTCAGCCTCACACGTTAAACAGAGTAATTGAAGTTCCAAAGAAATGTTTTAAAACTGATGGGGAAAAGAGGCCCATCCATGTCTGAAACTAACTAAAGCTAGGGCTATCACAATTCTGGAAACCATAATGTTAATAGAATTTGAAATAGAAGTTACAGGAGCCAAAAAGTTTGAAATAAGAACATGGTCAGAGGCATTGCTGGTATGGACATTCAGCTGACTCAAACAAACACCAAAATAGCAACAGCGTCTGCCTCAGATAAACATGCTTTCCCAGCAGTCTCCTTTCTGCAGTAAGACATTTCTATTACATTTTCCTAAAAGGGAATCATGTTTGCATTGAAATGGCAGTCCTGATGGCATTGTACAGAGCATCAGACCCTTGCAACTTTCTAATCTCTGGTTTCCACACTTGGAAATGCTGTCTTGCTGTTTCATAACTAAAGTCCCTGTCTGGCAAAGAGACTGTGCTCAGAATGCTTGCAAGTCACCTGTTTGGAGTTTGCATTATGAATTTCCACAGAAACAAGTCTAAGTGGGCTTTTGAAATTCCTAAAACAGTCCAGTTAGATTGCTCTCGAAGTCCCTAATTGTGTGCACTGTGGAAATGTGAGACTTTGGGTAGCACTGTCTTTTAAAAAATGTTTTCTTTCAGCGTCTAACTTGGAATGTAGTCCTAATCTCAGAGCCAGGAACTCCCATCCTTTGTGGTTTCACAGGCATCTTAGCCTCTGGAAATGCTGTCTCCTGGGGGCTGGTGCAGAGTGAGCCACAGGAAAGGCCTCTAGAGCTGGTAAGGAACAGGGTTGCAGTCCCCCATAAAATGTCCCTCTCCAAGGAGCTGTCAGTCCCTTCCCTCTGTGAGTGTATCCTACAAAGATCCTCAACATACACACGGCTTACCTAAGGCTCAAGAGTATCTATCTACTGGCTTGCTTTCATTTTTTCCAGTTTTCTATATATTAAGGAAATGAGCAGCTTTCACATAGAACTGGGGACAATGGTTCTTTACTTTTGGGAGTAAGAAGGAAGCGTGTAAGAGCCACATCCTTCTGTATAAAAGCAGACAGAGTCCCACAGGATTTACAGTTGCTCTCAAAATGGAGACAAACTCTGGAGTACAGGTGCTACAACTTCCCCAGATTCTTTGAATTAATGCATGTTTGTGGCACATAATGGGAGACTGGTAAGTGTACATAATACATCTTAATTCTTTTTGTATCCCCTTTCCTCCCTCCATCTCTTGGTCCCTTTCCCTTTTGCAAAAGACTGTCTCACTATTTCCTATTATCTGTCTTTTATCTTTAGGTACTTATTTGCTCTCTAAAGTTTTATTGTCTCCCTTCTGTTCCTTTTGGTAGAAAATAATATAATTCTTAAAAAGTTTCTGTGCTGTTTTAGGGAGACAACAAAGGAGTGCAAGAGCCTGCACTTGTAGAAATGCAAGTTCTCAGGCCCAACTGAGTCAAGGAACTGAGCAGAGAAGTCTGTGTCCATTAAGCCTTTCCAGGGAGTCCAGTGATCAAGCTCAGACTGAGAACCATTGGCACAGAGGGTAAAGAAGGACCTGCTCTGAGATCCTGACTCTGCCCCTTAACAACTTGCAAGCTTGAGCGGGTTAGTCTTTCTGAGTTTGTGGAGAAGATTAAATGATATAATGTATTTGAAGCACTTAGTACAATGTCAGAGTGTCTTGGTTACTTTTCTCTCATTGCTGAGACAAAATACCTGACATCCAGAATTAAAGAAGGAAAAGTTTATTTAGCTCACAGTCTGTGGAGATTTAAGTCCATACTTGGCTGGCTCCAAGGCAGGGTGACACATGGCAGACAGCAACAGTTCATGGAGGCAGAAGACAGCAAAAAAACAGCAAGAGCAAAAGGGAAGAGTGGCGGGAAGCAGCATCTTTCTCTCCCTTACATACGCAAATGATCCACTCCAGGGTGCATGTAACACTCACACCCATGAATCAATCATAAACTCTAGATGCCTGCCCCATCACTGCATGAGGCTTTGGGAGCACATCCAGAACTAAACCATAATACAGAGTTTTTAGTTTTCAATCACAATCTTGCTATAACCCTGTGATTGTGTGTGTGTGTGTGTGTGTGTGTGTGTGTGTATGTGTGTGTGTGAGAGAGAGAGAGAGAGAGAGACAGAGAGAGAGAGAGAGACAGAGAGACAGAGACAGAGAGAGAGACTGGGGATTGAACTCATGGTTTATGCATTGATCTATATCCCCAGCTCTTTCTTTTTTAAGTTTTTATTTTGAGATAGAGTCTTGCTAAGTTGCCAAATTTCTCAGGCTAGGCTTGAACTTGCTATCCTGCCTCAGCCTCCCAGAGTGCTGGGATAACTGGCATGTGCTACCATGCCCAGCCGCTTATAAAGAGAAGAGGTTTATTTTGGCTCAGTTTTGGAGGTTCTGATCCATGATCAGTTAGCCCTGTTCTTTGAAGCCTGTGGTATAGCAGCATATAATGGAGCACGTGGTAGAGCAAACCACTGACATCACTAAGAAGGCAAAGGTAGAGGAAGGGACCTGGATCCCTTAACCCTTTGGAGGCACACCCTCAAGTACCTAAAGAACTCCATTAGCACCCCCTCCAACATTTCACCATTCCCCAAAAGCGCTACTCTGGCAGCCAAGCCTTAGCCCATAGCCTTTATGGGTGTGTTCAACACCCAAACAATAGCAAGCACATATAGAAAACACCCAGGAAATGTTAACAGTTATGGTCACTATTATCTGTGAGTGGAAAGAGAAAGTGTAAGGCCTTATGACCTTCAGCAAATTGGCAGAGAATTTATCGGCTTAAAGGGCCCTTTCAGATTCTGACATTGTGTTTCCAAGGAACTCAAAGGTCAAATACATTCTGAGTGGTCTCATCCATACAGAAACAGAGCAGTAGTTCTTGCTGCTTATCAACAGAACCCTCATGGAGTTTTAAAACTTTACCCTTCCCTGGATCTTCAGAGCCATAATCTCTAGTGACAGAATCTGGGCATCTATAATTTTTTAAATTTTCATAGGCAATGCAGCAAAAAAACCCTATTCAAATTAAAAGTGACAATAATTAAAGCATACATTTATCATTTTTTTTTGCCAACCACTACGCTAGCTTCTTTATATGCATTGTTGCATTTAATTCTTGCAGCAACCCCACAAAGTAGGTACTGTGTTTCTTTATTTAACAAATGAGGGAAACAGAAGTAGAGGCTAAATTACCCTAAGTTCATAAAGCTAAAAAGTAATTTAGGACCTGAACCTAGGTTGGAGGTTATATGAATTTAACGGATGCAAAACTTACTGCATTCATTTCCTCATTCATCTGACAAGCACTTATTGTGCAGGACCAGGTAATATGCTGAGAGCTGGGGAATATAAAAATATAGAACCCCATCTTTATCCTCAGAAAGCCATGCCTTGGAGTGATTAGAAAACAAAAAAAGCCAGACAGACCTATTGCTTTGCTTTAAACAATGTTGTCCTGTGTCTCTGAGAGGTTGTAAAGACTTTCTACCGACTTCTGGCCTCCTCCTTTCAGTGGTCATCGACTGAAGTCATCACCAGCCTCTCAGACTGTGAGGGCCAGGCCTACCTGCCAGTTGCTAACGCTTCCCAGCAGCTGGTGGGCAACCATGGAGCCTCTGATACCAAGCTCTTAAAGTGGGCTTCTGCCCGCTGTGCTCATTCTTGCGGTCTTCCCCTCCCCGCCAATCAAACCGAGGGGACAGAGAGCGTCCCCGCAGTGCTGATAGGGGGCGCTCTTCCAGGATAAAGCCTCTAACCCCCAAGCGGCAATGTTTTGAAATTCCTCAGCAAAGTACAAAGACTGAAGCCTGCTTTTTTGGAACCGTGGGATATTCGCGCAGGGCAAATCTTTGGATGCAGTGTAATGTTGATGAGGAACCTGACCGCTAGGGTCTCAATCTAGGCTCGGATGGGTTCCTAGCTCAATCTGCGACCTCTCACTGCCTCCTAGAGTCAGGTCTGGGTATTCTTTCAAGTAGACAGAATTGTTAAAGTCCTGCAATCGTCATCTTGGAGAAGGCGGTAAACCCTCCCTGGGAGACCGCCTTAGAAGACACTGACCCTGGAGCTAACCTGGGGACACTGCTGCGAGCCGCCTCATCCTCCCGGCCCGCGGCGTCGGCGGCGGCAGAGAGATTTGCACACTGGTAGGACCCCGGGGACCAGTCTTCAGGTTGCACAAGGCGGAGGCAGGGAGGGGAGGGGCGAGCCGCGGAACATTTCTCTTCCGCCTCCCTCTAGCTTCCACCCGGACCCAGTTGGTGCCGGACGCAATAGTGGAAACTTAAACATGGAGGCAGAGGACTCTGGGCCTGTAGAGACCTCCTCTTCACTGGAGGCTCGGGGGTCCACGGACGACCGGCTTTTCGTGGTTAAAGGTGTGGTATAGTGAGGTGCGGCGTCGGAGCGAGCTCACCCAGTGCCCGGGATTGCGCTGGGATGGCATTCGTGAACACAGCCGGCTGTGAGAGCCCTTAGAGCTGGTGGGGCAGTTAAGCCTATCGCCAGGTGCAGTCTCCTGGGCACCGGGACAGGTCCAGTGATCTCCTCTCCCGTGCGTGGCGCATTGCCCCAGCCTCTCTACAGTTTCTTTCATGCTTTGGATTTTCTAATTGTCACGATCTCTCTTTTCCTCTCCTGGAGAAACTTCAAGCCACTGCCCCAGGGGAGTGGGAAGGGAACCTGCGCCAGTTCTCTACAAGAGAGAACTGTGCCTCAGAATGACCCCAGGAGCCAGAAGTCGTGAGGTCACGCGGGTTTCACAGTCGCTGTCACTTACCTTTGGCAAGAATTGTTTAGCCATTTCTCGAATTTCAAAAGTAATTTTGAATGTAATGTAAAATTTGTGTAAGACTTGTGTACATCTTTGTAACGTACCCCTTCTCCCTCAAACTTGGCAGGTGGAATTTTCCTGGGTTCTGTTGCTGCAGCAGGGATGCTAGCTGGATTTGTTACAACATTATCACTGGCTAAAAAGAAAAGCCCTGAATGGTTTAATAAGGTTTGTAACACTGAAATCCATTCATAGGATTGTTATTGTTTACAATAAAGGCAGTTCTTTGCACAAGAAAAGAATGTTGGTGGCTTTTCATATTGCTTTAAGAAGTAAACTGTTTACACCTCGTGGATTCAAGAAGTGCGCAGATTAATTGATTTTGTTTATTTTCTTTTAAAAAGAAAGATGTGCTTGTTAAACTTTAGTAGAGGAAGACTTCCAAAGCTTATCTTGTACATTCATACTTATAGCATGACTTTAAACCTAAATGTAGGTAATTTGCTATTAGTAGTTAGAGACCCCAGTTTTTGTGTACCAACTAGCAAGAATAAGTAATGGCAATTAAATTCTTGATACTGACTGCAAGAGGCATTTATTGCAGTGATGTTAAAATGTTGAAATAAAATTCGTCTTAGTACTGATGAAAACCGTGTCAGCTCCTTGAACACAGGGATCAGGCACTACTGTAGTCCAAGTCCCTAGGAAAATACCTGACATATAGTAGGTCCTCAGTAAACTTTGGTGAGTTGACTATAATCTACTTAGAGCAGAAAATTCTTATGTGATGAGCAGGATTGAACAGTTATTCTCATGTACTTCATTTACCTCGTTAATAAGAAATTTCCTTCATGTTTACTTGTAGTTACTTGTTCTTGTCTTTTGTCTCTGCCCTCCTATCCTATTTGGCTTATTTATTTATGACTTCATCACTTCAACAAATGTTTACTTGGAATATTTTATGTATCAGGCATCCAAGTAGTTAGGTATAAGCGATACAGAAATGAACAATACCTCTGACCTTTAGGAACTGAGGTGTCTGGTGTGGTGGACACATGCTAAATATTCAAATAACTATATAGTTGTAGATCGATGTGTGCTATGGAAGAAAAGTGTTAGGTGAAAAACCATAAATCAGTTGAATTTCCTTCTGAATTATGTGATGACTGATAGACTACATTTAAAATGTATTTTGGGGCTAGGGATATAGCTCAGGGCCACAGCGCCTGCCTGGCAAGTGCAAGGTCCTGAATTCGATTTCTGGTACCAAAATAAATAAATAAATAAAATAAAGTGCGTTTGAATTCCCTGTGAATACTCTGAGGAGTTACCTAGAGCTACCCAAATCACTGCCATGTATCCTGTGGATCATTTTCTCCCTGTAGTATAAGATATTTCAGTATTTTATACATCAATTTAAAAAGAACATTCTGCAGCAGACTGACTATAGGAGATATGAAAATCCAGACATCTTTCATTACAATAAACATTTAAAAGATTAACAAAAATGTAAAACTCTACACATTTTTTAAAAGTTATTTTTCATAAAAATGGGTTTATATTAATTTATAATTGATTGACTATTTTTAAATAAATAAAATGTGAATTTCTTAGTTTTATTTTCTAAGTAAATATTGAATACAATCCACATAGTTGAAAACCTCTGGAGTCCAAGTATAAAGGAATCTTGAGACCAGAAAATTTGAGAACCACTCCTCTGGATATTTAAATATGTTATGTAAGTTTCTGCTTCCCTCTGGGAAATACGGAATTAGGACATCTTATCCAGACTCCAAAAAGTAAATTGATTTGTAGAACTCGGGTTCTGGAGTACACGGTTAAGGAATTACACTGAACAAGCACTAGTTTAAGAATATCGCTTAGGCAGTGTACTTTAAAGTCATAACATTCACAGTAGTAATTATAATACCTAACATCTGAGTGCTTACCATGTGCTACTTTTCTAAGGGCTTTATTCATTTAACCCCTACAAAACCATAGGAGACCCTGATACTGTACATCATTCTTACCTAAGAACAGAAAGTGGGCCACATATGGATTAATCTACTTGCCTAAAGTAAAACTCTCTGCATCTTTGTTTTTTTCTGCATAATAAATGATACCACTTGCACCAATAAATAACAAGTAAACTGTCCACTAGCCTGGGAATCTAAGTATTCATTACAACACAGATTCATATTGGAGCACAAAAAGACTTTAAAGTGACCAACTTTTCAGTGGGAAGCTGCCTGCATTGCTTCTGTTCTGGAAGATAATAATCACATTAGCGTCTTTGTTTTCATTGTCTTAGTTGTCTTATGCTAGAAAGCTGGGAGTTGAAAAGCCATAAGAAGAACTCAGTGAGCATGCATTTTTCTTTGTAATTCTTTGAATAAATAGAAAGAGGAAGGTGTAAGTTAAGGCGGCCAAAGAATTCATGCTTGAGTTTCTTTGATCTGTTAAAATTGACCAAAATTCTTTGTGAGATACTTCTCACACATCAGTTACAAAAATGATTGTGAGACTGAATGAGGTGTTATATGTGTAAATTATGTGTATATATGTCTGTTTGGTTAGAACAATTGAAAATACAGAATTAATGCATGATAAATTAATACTAAACTGTATTAAGATAAAGTTTACTTACCTATAGTACTTTAAATCAGTGCCTCAGTGTAATACTATGACATGGCAAAGCTTTATCAGATAGCTGAGTTATTTCAAGATTCATTTATGTAAACAGATAAAAAGAGCAAGTTGTCATCCATCTTTTTGATATGGCTATAATATCAAATAGACTAGGCATTCTATTTAAAAATCCATTTGACTTAACTAAAATTAATCCCAGAATTATATTGAAAAAAGCTAAAAATATGAAACTTACTAGTTTTGCAGTTGACCTTAAAAATGAACAAATTGCACTTCATAGATTCTCCATACAAAATGTGCATAATAGATTAATTCTTGTCATCTCCTCTCAAGATAAGTAAGGGGTACTCATGGTTTTAGACATAAAGATATTATAAACATGGAGCTTTCATTTGTAAAATAATCTTTTATCTTTGGGTATTAAGTATCATAACTGCAGTATGATTTGTTAAATTCCATTTCCAAATACATGTAATTTAATTTTAATTTTAAAAGGTAATGTGGCAGTGAAAGGAAGTATAGCTTTTAAAATATACATGTATGTTTGTATTATTTATATATATAAATATAAATGGTAGCATTTGTGACTATATCAAAGATCTTTTAAGACAACATTATTTTTGGCAAGTCAGTCTTTTCCTGTAGCAAGTCAGCCAACATTCATTTTGAAAATTTTGAATAGAGTGTATGAATGACATTTTTCCCCAGAGGAAAAGCTTGTGATTAGACTTTTTAAAACTTAAGGATCAATTTTTTTTTTTTTTACTTTTTTAATTTAAAGAGAATAGAAAATAGTAAAAAATTAGAAGTGATATAGAATTTCAAAAAACAAGACAATTTAAATTCAACAATGGTTGTTATATTGCATATTGTTGTCTTCAAAGTAGTTACTCAGATTACCAGATATAAGCATGAAAAATTGAAAGGAACAGTTAAATGCTTATTTTTTCTTTGAGCAATTAAGGATCAATTTTTAATATCAACTTTCCACTAAAATTTATTTTTCAAAGCATGTAGACAATAACTTGTTAATTACAGCTAATTTTCATTTCATCTCACAGTTTATAAGACTGATATTGCACAAATAATAACATGTACACATTTTTTTAAAAAATCTAGGTTAGGCAAAATTCACATTTTATTGTACATATTAATGTGTCATTAAGAGTTATATTCATACATAGTCACCTTTTTAGAACTAGATTTAGTAAAACAAACATAGGTTTATGTAGACAGTAAAAATATATACACCTAGGTGAATTCTGTCCTCTCTAGGGAAATAATAGATTTTTAGTCTGTGTTTCTAAAATAAAATTTAGGCCAAAGCATTTAACTGACCCTTGTAAAATGGTATTTGGTTAGTGCCACTGCTTCTACATGAAAATTCAGGGCAATTAAAAGTCAGTTGATTTATGTGAAATGTATTTGTAGAATCATACTGAAATTAAACAAACAGCTGGGGATATAGTTCAGTGACACAGTGCCTGCCTGGCAAGCACAAGGTCATGAGTTTGATTCCAGGTACATTAAAAAAAAAAAAAGAAATTAAACAAACATCTGAAAAGAATAAAAAGGTACATTATTTTATACCATAGAAAATGACTACAGAAAGATCTCTTGGTCTTGGTCTGGTTAGATCTAAGATATATTTATAAAAAGTGTCAGCAAACACTGAATACCTGCCAGGTCTCGTCATGATGCTGGGCATAGGGATGCAGATCAACAGAGCAGAGGCTTTCTTTACACTAGGAACAGTATCACTGTTATAAAGCAGAAGGAAAGCTTATGCTGGGCACTGTGGCACATGACTCTTAATTGTAGCTACTCAGGAGGATGAGGCAGGAGGATCTCAAGTTTGAGATCAGCCTGGGCAATTTAGCAAGACCCTGTTTCAAAATTTAAAACAAAAGAGGGGAGTAAGGTGTTGCTCAGTGGTAGAGCACCCCTAAATTTGATCCCTGGAAGCCCCCCCCAAAAAAAAAATAAGAGAGAAAAGCTTGTATTATGAAATAGGATGAACACTATAAAGAAAATGTCTATAAAGTAAAAGGACTTTTGTAAAATGTAAATGAAAATTTCTTTCCACATGGAAGACAGGATGTTAAAGATTTGCTATTTCTTATTAGATTAGCTAATTAATGTTCTACTAATGCAAATGCAAGTGCGAATGTATGAGGCTTTGAGAAATCTTGATGAAATGTTCTAAGATTTTTCTGGAAGAATTAGCAGGCACTGTGCCTTGTATACCCATATCTGTAGTTCAGAGGAGCCATGACATTATTAAGTAGCAAAGCTACCATTTGATCTTGGGCTCCTCTGGCCTCCCAGTGTTTCATGTTACTTATTCAGATAGTACTCCAAGCAAGTTTATCCTTTCAGAACAGATTTGTGTTAGCCAAGTCTTTCTGTCTTCATTGCAGGGGAGTGTGGCCACAGCTGCCTTACCAGAGAGTGGGTCTTCTCTTGCCTTGCGAGCTCTGGGCTGGGGCTCACTTTATGCCTGGTGTGGGGTTGGTGTGATCAGCTTTGCAGTCTGGAAAGCTTTAGGAGTTCACACTGTAAGTAACAGTAGTCTTGTAATTCCTTTCTTTTACTTTCTGTTGTCTAAATTTTTCTCGTTTTCAAATTTGCATATATTTTGGTCTCTGTCTTGAAAAGTAATGACCGAGAATGTAACTAAATTTTTGCTAGTATCTAGGCAACTTCTCATTATTATTAAATAATAAATGTTTTTCAAATATAGTGACTAATTCACAGCTAATGTTCATTCTACGTAAGTTGATGTTAGCTACTTGTTTAATAAAATTGTTAATTTGGAACAACTTCCCATACTGTTTGACATCCATATATATAAATACCCTTGTAAAATAAGGCATTTTAAAATTAATTATTTAAATTATTAATATGTTATTTGCATGTTATTAGAAAAAAAATCTTAAGAACCTAAATGTACATGTATGTGTATTTATGTCTACATATATATATGAACATATAACTGGGTGTGGTGGCACATGCCTGCAGTCCTAGCACTTGGGAGGATGAGGCAGGAGGATCATATCGAGTTTGAGGCCAGCCTGGGCTACAAAGTGAGCTCAAGACCAGCCTGAACTGCATAGCGAAACCCTGTCTCAAAAAGACAAAACAAAACATACATATGTACATGCATAACATTTATACTCCAAACTAAAAATCTATACTTCAAGGATTATCAATTTCTTTTTCTTTTAAAATAACTCTTAGGAAGTTCTGTGGACCAGGCTCTTCAGCACAAATGAGAATGGATGGTAGCTTGGGACAGATAGCAGTGGTGAATTTGCTGAAAAGAGGTTCTGGGTATATTTTGAAGGTGAGGTCAGCAAGGATTTGTTATACAGTGGATGTGGAGTGGGAAAGTGAAGTCAAGGATGTCTCCACGCCTTGAACTGAGCACCTAGAAAACAAATGCGGACCAGTGTGTGAGGAGGTGTTGAGGATAAGATCAGGAACCCCATTTAGGACTTACGAGTTTGAGATATTTGTTACATAGCCACATGGAGAGTCAAGTAAACACCTAGATACAAAAGTCTGAGATTCAGGGAAAGGCTCAGGGTAGAAATGTAAATTCGAGACTCATCAATGTATGGATAGTGTTTAAAACCATGAGATCAGATGAACTCACTAAAGCAGTGAGGATAGAAAAGAGAAGAAGAGGTCTGAGAAAGGAGCCCTTGAGTACTGCTAAGGTTTAAAGATTGGACAGTGAGGAAAAAGTAGCAAAGATTCCCCTAACAACAAGGAAAGGAAGTCAGAATGGGGGCTTGGAGTGCTAGGGGTAGAAAGTATTTCAAGGGAAAACAATTGACTGTGTTGCGTGCTGGTGAGAAGTCACATACCATGAGCACTGAACACTCCCTGAGTGTTGGTCATCACCACTGTGATGGTCGTTGGTGAGACAGTGGTGGAATGGATTCAAGAGGATAGAGGAAAGAGACTGGCGGCAGTATGTATAGGAAAATCTGAAGTTTTGCCCTTATATCTGAATATAAGAGTATGTGACATCCTTTTATATTATATCTTCATGTCTAACTAGAAAGAGAACACAAATAACTCCCTGTACGTAGGTTATTAGGCATATCAGCGTGATCTGCACGTCTGAGAAGTCTCACAGAAAAATGAGCCCACTGATGCCTTTCCAAGGGCACATTTATCATGAAAATTTATCAGCCCAAAGTGAAAGAAAGAAATGGGGTCATATCCAGAAAGGGGGAAGGGGTCTGGAATTCTTTTTTGTTTTTAGTAAGAGAGTTAATTGCATATATATGGTGATGGAAGTGATTCAGTAGAGAGGGAGAAAATGAGGCAAGTGGAGGGATTGCTGGAGCAACCTTATAAACATTATTGAGCATTTCACATTTAATTGTAACTAAACATGGACATTCTTTCACTTTTCACACAGATGCACTGGTAGACAAAATATAGTGCTTCTCCTCTGGTCTGACCAAGTTTTAGTTTTAAAGTAACTTTGCTGGCTAGTCAGTAACAGTAAACTAGAGATTAATTAGAATTAATTAATTAGTAAACTAGAGATTAATTAATTAATTAGAATTAATTAGAGATTAATTAGAATAACAGTAAACTATAATTAATTATTAATTAATAGAAAACCTATGATTGGAAGATTTTTGATGACTGTTGCTATTCAGTTTTTCTTGCATTTCTTGCATTGTACCAGACACTTTAGATACAGCAGACTATTTACTCTTCTTAGTAAAAATGTAGCAGATAGTAATAACTCCCATTTTATAAATGAGTCAATTGGAACTTTGGGACTCAGATACTTCACTTGCCTAAGATCATGTAATTTATAACTGGCAGTCAAGATTTGAACCCAGCCTTGAATCTGCAGGAACTAGTTTTTCTTCAACTGTACCACCATTAGCTAAGATGAACATACAGGAGTAAGTGGAAGGGGTAAGGATTAGGGGAGGAATTTGATTATGACATAATCCATACATTTCTTGATAACTTGCCAATTTTTTCTGAGTATCTTCTGTGGGGGCCTCATCGCTCAGCATGATGTTTGATGTCAGTCTGGTATAAGACTGGCTGTTGTTTTCTCGTAAAAGAGAAACCTTCTTTTAAGCTACCTGCAGAAGAAAAATGCTTAGGATATAGTGGCACATGAAAGAAAGTTTCATAGCTATATATATTTATAATAAGAGAGCAGGTATCTGAAAACAAGTGAAAAACTGGGAGGAAAGATGTCTGATAGAAATATCTGAATGAATTATGGGTATATGGATTAGTTATTTTACTTTCCCTTGTTTCCTAAAAGCATACTTTAATAGCAATATTATTTTTTAAAACATTGTGCAAGATTTTATTTTTATTAATTTGTACTGAAAATAAAGTACAGCTGCCTAGGAATTTCCCTGACTACATACAAAATCTACCTGGGGGTCATGCAAACGCTTAGTAATAGTTATTAAGCTGCTTATTTCTGTGAAAATCACAGCCTGTTAGCACTTTACCTTGACTGTGTAGAATTGGTAGGTGATGTTTCCAGTGTTTCAGGTATTTAGTACTGTAGGTAATAAAATGAGTAAAAATTTAAGGTATGAAAATGTGAATAGTTTTTATGTGTCATAAAAATGAATCAATCTAAATGTTCATAGACCAACAAAATTAGGTTATCGTACACTTGAGAATTTAGCTTTGTAGGCTAGACTGTGCTATTTTAGTTTCTAGAACATGAACTCCTTTGTTTTATGGCACTAATTAAGGTTATTACCTAAATAAAATATTTTGGGGACAAAACATTTTATGATTGGGACTACTGAATATAAGAGTATGTGACATCCTTTTATATTATATCTTCATGTCTAACTAGAAAGAGAACACAAATAACTCCCTCTACATAGGTTATTAGGCATATCAGCGTGATCTGCACGTCTGAGAAGTCTCACAGAAAAATGAGCCCACTGATGCCTTTCCAAGGGCACATCTTTTAATTAAAGGCCGTAATGTTTATTAACTTGTTGGTTTGTTCATTGAGAAGTCATTTGTCGGCCTACCCTGAGCCTGTGCTAAGACAGGGCTTCCCAGTAGGCTGTTCTTATCTAAGTCCTTACCTGCTCCCTTTCCTAACAGATTCTTAATGACACTGTTCTGAGGCTTATGGTGAGCAATGTATGGTGTTTAGCTCTGCCTTTAGAAAGCTCCTACATTTACAATTTTGATGATGAAGTTGCATCACTAAATATTTGGGGGAAATGTCAGTTTTCTGTGATCTAGTATAACAATCTTAGAAAATGATGAGCAGAAATGTTCCAAGTATATGACCTAATAAATAGATGAGGTGTTTATTTCTAGATAAATACAAGTATCAAAATGAACTCCAGTGTCAAATAATTGTCAGTAGCTACCCTATATTGTATTGAATCTGCTGCAAACCCAGTTCCCCCCATAAAAGGTGCCACCTAATGGCTGGCCTTGAGCAACTTGACAAAAGTGCCTGTTATTTCCTCTTTTAATTCACAGCTACATCTGCTGGCCTAAAAGAGAACATGTTATAAATGCTTAAATCAGAACTCTTCAATTTCTTAAAAATATTTTCATTTTAGTCTTTCTTTAACCATAATTAGTATGAAATTTTATTTCTCAGAAAATGCATATAATACATTAATAGAAATGTTCATTTGTATTTTATACAGTGGTCTATTGTTTATTCAGAGGTTGCAAAGAAAGAGCTAGTGGGAGCTGTCTCGTTAGCTGACCAAAGCACTAAGTTTCCCCAGGATGGACAATGGGATCTTCACTGCCTGTGTAGAAATCTGCACAGTCTTTGGGTAGCAAGTACAGCTTGCTTGTTCTTTATGGGTTCATTGATTACTTTGAAGTATGATTTTGTCATGTGAATATGTTTAAGATAGCATTAGTCATCTAAGTTGCTGCAGTGGTACTAACTGGTAATTCCCTAATTCTAAAAATGAAAATAACTATGCCTTTTATAGTTAATTCACACATTGCTTAAGAGCAGTGACTTTTTAATTTTCTTACCTTATATTACTTATTGAATTATTTATTTATTATTTTTGGTGGAAGAATTTCTGGAGAAATTCAGCTTGTTTATGGCTACCTTGTCTTTTTTTTCCTTTTATAAGGAGAAATGTCAGATATCTCAATATTTACTGATTGATATGACTGGAACTTCACAGGAGGGAGTATGTTCTCTGCCTGTGGCGCTGTGCACTACGTTCATCCTTGAGGAGGTTGCCATCTCAAAGGACTGGCTGAGTCACCACTGCTTCTCTTTACTGTGGCTGGTATAGAATGTAACTGCCTATAGCAATTTATGCATAACATACAGCGTTTGACCTCATAGGCACTGAGCCCTCATTTGCTATTCAAAAAAACATGAATGAAAATGTTCATAGTCATTCTAAGTTACTTTAAATTATCTAGATATTTAAATTTCAGAATTAATGTATAAATACAGTTTTTTGATTTATTACTTTTTCACCATAGGATAAGAGATATTTGTCTTTATTTACATAGTCAGCTTAATACCTCTATAACA